TCGTTCACGTGGGTCTTCTTCCAAAACAAGACAAGACGATGAACCACATTCACTGCAAATCATTTGCTTAAAAACATAGTTCAGGATCTCCATATCAATAAATCGATACCCTGTCACGGTAGCTGAAACTGGGGGAGCATTTCGTGGACATGGATTGCCAATCTTACGAGCGGAAGCAGAGATATTTGGAGACGAATTGCCTTCGATCATTAGTTGAAGTTGATGGCACAAAAGAATCATTCTCAAGACGCGCTTTCCTTACAGAGTCCGTGAATCTATTGCCATGAAATTTCCATTTCCTTACTCTTGAACCTTTCCTTAGCATCGCGAATATATGAATATATAATATCGGAATATGCAAATAATGTAAATTACGCTTGACGAACGCTTGAGAGTTGAGAACACGAGAACAACACAATGAGTTTATTTAGCTCAAAAGACGCCTTCAGATCGTTAAAAGAGCTTTCAGCGGGTGTGTTAAGAAAGCAGAAGGACTACTTCATATAATATACAGAAAATCGTTCTCATTGGATAAAAAGAAGCGCTTTCAGGCGGGGTTTTCAAACAAAAACAGCTGTTGCTAAGGGCGTTGCTAAGGCAGAAAATAGCCAAAGGTTCAGGAATTTGCTTTTTTTAGTGTGTTGTAGTATTCTATGCGCACTGAAAATTTCTGAGGCCATAGAGGAAGGTTGAAAGTACATATAATGACTGTCTTTGAAAATTCAAAAATTTCGAAGTCAAAGTGAAAATTTTAGTAGAGGACCCCCTTAAATATTGTGAGACAGCTCAGTTTTTTTAAAAAAAATTTTCATTCGTGCAGTTGATCTTCAGGAAAGATCAAAGATATCTTCTGAACTTGACCCCTTGACTTTATATTTATATACATGCATACCTGCAAAAATGTTCCTAAAATGTATGGGGATTTTGAAAACGTAAGGAAAATTTAAGGTGTTTTGTCATAGAATTGGACAGGAAACAAGAAAGCTTATTCTAAGCAAAAAGTTTAGCGGCAAAATCACAATGTTTTGGCCTGAATTGTGGATTATATTATACAAAGTTCAGTTGAGTAAATACAAAAACAATTCTGATTTATAAAACCAGTCTAACTTGATCATGGCTTGCTTCATTGCCATTGGTTCTTTTAAATTGGGGAAGAATGCTTTTCTGTTCTATGTTGCACGATCAGTCGGGGTACGAGTCTACGAGACGACAACAGTTCTTATTGACTTAGGAAGAACGAAAACAAATAATATATATTTGCATATATTCAATTAACTTGTTCGCCTGTTTTGACGAACACATGGTGAAAACGTGTTTTCAAAGCAGCGAAACATATTGTTTGTTTGTTTTCTCACGCGCTTCGCTGCAACAAAACATTCAGTTTTTAAGGTAATTGTTGAATGTATTTGTTTAATATCCGGAATTTCCTTGTAAGTGGCTTACATCTGTTAACTGAATTAAACGCCTAGTCAGTTTGAAAATTAATCACTTCGAAACATGCATATCATTTTCTTTAAATATGTCACATTCACAGATAGCATCTATTGTGCGTGAACGTAATATATTTACAACGCAGAATTTTTATGCACGGTTTTTAGTTTAAAATAATATGAACCAAGCAATATAAAGGCAGTATCACTGCTCATAAGAGTTTTACTGTGTCACTTTTTGAACAGTTCGTGGAAACATTTCGATTTCAAAGTGGATAAGAATAATATTTTAAGGCGGTCAGGCATGTAAGGCATGACATGGTGTCAGAAATTGTTACGCTATAATCGAGTGTAAAATATTGCCCTGCATTCAGTGGGGCAGACTGTTCACAATCGAGAGCTTTGGCAAATACCGTTATATGCTAACGTAGGTCACTGCAAATAATGGCTGTTCGAACTGAGTATATCTAACATGTGGGTTTTATCACCGAAATCATCTCCCAGAATATTCACAGTTTTCCTATTGATTTATTTACCTTCTGTTCAGACTAGACGTAATAACAATACCTGATTTATGAGCCGTTTCAACGCGTGCATGACGCAGATTTGAGCAATGACCCCCTCTTGCAATTTAAGCTTGCTTTGTCACAATGATATATAGCACTATCGATGTTTTTTTCTATTGAATTGCTTGTACGATGTAAGATGTAAATTTGTTGTCTGTCTCAGTAATATTTTACACATTTATAGGCGTATTTAAACAATTGCTTAACTCTTGATAGAAGTATATGAAAAATGTTTGAAAACTGCACACGTTCTACTGACAATTTTAGAAAAATAAAATCAACCAGAGTAAATACTCCCTACATGGCATACGTGGAATAAGTTTTTTTGAAGTACGAGATTTTAATATAACAGGAACGGCGCTAAAAATTTCCAATTTTATTTCAAAGTCCTCGCAAAACACTGAAACAATTAAAGGCGTAAATTTGCACAGCGTTTTTTTCGTTCCATGTACGTCAAATCATGTATTTTAAGCTGGAGTTAATATTCAGTTCACTTTACAATAAGTTTTACTTTGCACAATTAAAATTCTCCTTATACCTTCGATAGGCAATTTATACCTGCGGCCAGTTGTATAAAAGACTAGTTAACTTTTAACTGTAGTTATGAACAGCATTGGCCAATCAGATTTGTTTATTTCTGATTTAACTACGATTTACCTATGCAAAGTGTAGTTCAAGAGTTTTATACAACCGGTTCTTGAAGTGTAATTTTATTATCATTATATTTATAACCGTAATTATATTATTGATTCATTATTATAAACAACTACTGAATATGAGCCATTCTGCAAACTGATCGCATGGCTATCATGTCTTCTAACAGTATATTAACTTATCTTCTACTATAGAAAATTACAAAGATTTTGCATGGCGAACAAGAAAGAGTCAAGATATTATATGCATGCATGCCGTATAGTCTCGACAAGAATAACTACGGATGAAAAATAATGTCAATTCTCCACAGGTTTGCAAACGATATAGTGTATTAATTTAAAAGAAATAATTTTTAGGGAGGAAGTCAAAAAAAGACGTTGCAAAAAAAAGTTAATGCATGAGTAATGAGATGTGAAGTCCACCAGTTCTTTTAAAAAAACCTTTAAAAGATAATAAGTGTTCAAAGTACTTTTGCATGAAAACAGCATGTAGTATTTCCTCTGGTTTAGGTTGAGTTACATGTATGTTAATTGATAAAAATATTGCCATATACCCGTCCGTCAATAAATCTGTCATAAGCTACGTAGCTATAATTAATAATATTTTTGTAAGTTTGCATGCATGGTGACATCAATAAGTAAACGAGCTTGTAGATACACCACGTAAGTATTTAATACTGCAAAGCTTTCGGTCCGTTAACCCGGGCCTTCATCATGAAGACCCGGGTTAACGGACCGAAAGCTTTGCAGTATTAGATACTTACGTGATGTACCTACAAGTTCATTTACTTATATATAATTATATATTATAAATTGTATGATTATTCTACTCTCTAGCTCGTCGTATATCTCAAAGTCAACTGCATGGGTGCGCCTCAGCTAGATTAGAGGGATTTAGCTTGAGGATGGGTTCGTCGAAGACAGCTTGAAAATAGCAAATAAATGACGTGGTACGGTCCATATTTGGGTGCATCACGCTATTTATTCGCCATTTTTTCGTTGTCTTTGACGCTCCCGTCCTCATGCTAAATCTGCAGCTTATCATCTCATGCACCCACGACTCGGAATTCACAAAATGACTGGTCAAAATCAATAGTCATTGCGTGCTTTAGTATATCATCTGCTGTCTCGACTTAGATGAAATAGCATAGATGAAATAGCATATATATGCAGGGATAAATATTTAACTACCATGCATGTGGTTTTGAAGACAACGAAGGCATTCGGAGAATGGAGCGATATTGCTTTAAAAACTATTATAAAAATTTAGTATAAAAATCTTCAAGAGATCAATTTTATCCCAAGTAGTGTCTCAAAACCGATGGTCATCCATGCAACGTGTTCGCTGGGACGATTGACGTTTTGGCCGGAATCCACAAAATTTCCGTCTAGTGTTTATCTTTTCTTCTTATGCATCTATTCTCTATTCTGTAGACTATTTTAATGATCGGTAGACAGAGTCTGAAATTGGGTTTTTGTGACTGTAATTCATGCATCTCAATATCCGTCACCCACTTTTCCATCGGGATTATAATTCATATAGCTACATCTTCGGCCGCGGAGAATTTAGTTTGCATGCAAAGAACATTCGATTACATTTTCAACCGTAGAGGAAGGCTGAGAAAGAAATCGGTTAAATTCGCACTCTCATATACATTGTCTACATTTTTTTAGCTTAGTAATTTCTTTAACCATGTTTATAGATCTCAAAGTGTTTATTATACCCAGTTGATAGAGTCGCTGGACATTTGGCGACTTCACCGCATGTTATATATACATTCATATATGATTGATATTATCTAGCTCATTTTGAAATCCATCATGCTGTCTCCATGTGCGTAATACGTATAAAAAAGTAACATCCGTTGAAGCAAAACAGGAATGAAGTCGCAATAATGATTTTATATGTCGTTTCACGGAGACTGAGTCAAACCCCTTGGATCGCGAAATATTTGAGCGCTCAAAATATGTGATATAGAAACTCAAATAAGCAATTAAGCTATAAAGCCTGCTGTATATCAGTATTATCTGATGCAATTTAATTAGCCGACTGAGGCCCACTGACAAATAAAACCGCACTAAAACCGCCGAAAAACAAACATCGAAATAAACACGTCTATCTATATATATGCAAATAATGTCTTTCTTGCACGACATCCTCTTTCCCTTCCCAATAATACGATTCACTTTTAAAACATTTTTGTAACAAATTAACACGAACAAAATGCGACACATCTGGTCATGCGTAATATTCTTCGTTAAATAAACACTCTAACTCCTTCAATATACACTCAACGCCGTTGTTATTAAAGCCCCAACGGCGAATTTGACCTTTAAGTAGTTCACTTTACCTTAAATTCAGCTTTTAGGAGCCATTAGACGCCAATTCTCTCGCTGTTGGTGAATTCCACAGTTGTCCCGTGCATGAAACGGTGACCAGACCAAACTCCGTCGAGTTCTAAAGCGATTTACGTTTTATCGATTCGGTTTTCGTTTGTCAGATTGTGGAACAGATATCGGGTTTATCAATTAAGCAAGAGTCCTAAGCTATGTGCTATTTATTAATACACCCCTCAGCGTGTCATAATTTCACAATAGAAATAACGAAGATTGATTGGATCTTGCAATTTCATGATTACACATTTTGCATGTCTTTGGGATGCGATCATTATTTTTTCATTTTCCTTTATGTGATTACCATAGTTAGGTTTACAATTTAAGTAGTTTACATAAGTTATCCTGTTCCATATGGTATAGGGCCAACTAACGCTCCAAACTTGCCTCAATTTAATGCCATTACATGCCCAAGACTGCATTTTGACTGATACTTAAGTCTTCTCTTATTACCATTTATATTTCACGCTATGTTCTTCTATTAATCAATGATCAACTATTTTATCCGTGTTTTAACGACCCTAATACAAAGGCCAAGCAAGGACGAGCGTGGCACGATACTGACGATAGTAAAATTATCTCGATCTTCCGTACCAACAGTCCAGTGTAAATGTGGTCTATATAATTGCATGTATGTATCTTAAATTATATGGACAGTATGAACTTTTTAGATTCGTTTACGATATGGATTCACTCATATGTTAAAACTGAAAGAGGCTTAAATAAAGGGATATGATATGGGCATCTATATCCATAGGTTAACGCGGTCATGTTATCTTGGGTTGGTGCATGCATGGGGATTTTCGTCTTTAAGACTGCGAGTGAGTGCCAGTGCCGTTTAAACAGAAAGATGCGTGTAGAATATTTAGACTGAAATGCAATGTCTGTTTCATCCATGCATGATAGCGTTGTAGGAATACAAATTTGACGGGGTTTGTAATTGTAGCTTAAAATAATGAACTTCTACATATCAATTATGTTTTTACAACTGTGCAGTTCCATGCCGTCTCATAGGAGGTCAGGAGGAAACGACAAGGCAATCTTACAAAGAATGCAATGAACATTGCAAACAGATTTTAGGTAAATTCGAAACACTTTATACACAATGGGATATATATACGTTATCATGCATTGTCAAAGTCGAAATTGATTGCATATTGTGCTTTGTCGAGTTTGCACAAAGCATTGATACAGCTCTAGCTGTGCCTAAACTGTAAAATCAATTTGTTTGCTCTTAAACAGATTGAAAATTTCAGAATACGCGGCATGCCCGGCAGGTGTTACAATCGACATTCATTGTTCTTCACCGCGAGCTATTCATATCGGTCAGTGTTCGAGTCCTTATTTAAATAAATATTGTAATTATCCTTTTAATAATAATGCTTTTCCTTGTATAATATGTAAATGTTGCTTTTTCGCATGCAAGTGTCAAAGTTTAATTTTCTGTTCTCTGACTACGAAATCCATGTTTCCTACAGGCTTATAATAAATATGAGAGCCCAACATATTACATTTAAAAATTCCATCAAAACAATTAATAGTTTAAAATAATTTATTTGTGACGTTTCATCTTTAAACTTAAGACATCTTCAGACTAAATGATATAAAGTTACATATAAGATTTGAATATATATATTAACATTTACATATGTAATTTACATATCGTCGTAAGGATGAGGACGGATAGGAAGGTATAAGATAGTACATGCATGATAAGACAATACCGACGAAGGGACATAAACACATGACGATAGGAAAAGCGTTACAGAAGATTGTGGAATTGAGCTGCCCTTGAACTGGCTGTATTAAGCCTGTTTAGCTTAAACGGTGGTTAAGTTCAAAATAGAAAGCAAGTCTATCGTTTTACTCAACAAGTAAACTAAATGTTTTTATAACCTTAATAAAAAGATACTGTTTACAACTACATATTTAGCTAGTGCATAATATTTAAGTTCACTCTTTCAAGACAGATGTAAGAGCGTTATTTAATTTTGACTTATCCACCGTTTAAGCTAAACGGGCTTGTTACAACCGCCCCTTGGATGTTAAGTGAGGGTTTTAATTTAGAAACGAGGGGGCTTTGGTGAATCATTAATTCATGATTGTCAGAACATGAAGAAAGAATTTTAAAATCATCAAAGTCGGCAGAGTGCCCTGTAGTGCTTATGTGGGAGAGTATCCTGGATATAACTGGACTAGATGATGGTTTTCCAGTTATAGGGGAAATTCCCAAGTGTTCCGATACTCTGGTGTGTAGATGGCGCGTGGTTTTATTATAAGAATTCGTTTTCCGCCTTGCAAATCTCTAGCTACGATATTGAATAATCGTTACAATAACGCCTTCGTATATAGAGGCTGTTTAAATCGACTATATTTGCTCGGATGGGATAACAACGTGACAAAGCCGGCAAATAGTGAAACAAAAAATTACACTGACAACAAACTTGTCGTTTATAGCATGCAGTACGAATTTGATTAAGTTTGAAGGTGTGACCATAGACAAGATTTTTTCTTGATAATGGTCCTACTCAACACTCCAGCTGATCTAAGCAAACGTCACGATTGCGGTTGCCTTGTGCAGTTTTTGCTTTTTTTGCACCACCTAATCTACATGTTCCATCATCATTTCCTCATCATTTCATCTCCAGGGTTGAAAATTTGTAACTAGTTATAGCTTTAAATGGATAAACCATATGCTGATTCACTTCTTGCAGTTTCTTTGCCGACTCTCGATCAATATCGGACGCGGTATTTTGTACACAGGGACATATCCCCGGGGTGCGGAGATGCGGCAACATGAATCATCGCAGGGTTTTTACACGAGTACTTTGATAGCAGGGGTGAAAAGGTGAGGTCAGAAAAGTGGGTGGCAGCCAGGCTTCTAAGGGTCTATTTTGTTAATTGACATTACTGTGTACCACATCATTACAAAATGTTCCAAACGTTTGTATCTTTTAATACAACTGAAACGAGCAAATGTTAAAAGGGAAGATATCATGCAGTTCTACAAGTCATACATTAGATCTGTACTTGAATATGCGTCTACAGTTTTCCATCAATATCTACCAAAATATCTAAGTGATGAAATAGAACAAATTCAAAGGCGTGCATTGTCAATCATATACACGGACCTTAGTTATAGGGATGCTCTAATTGAATCTGGGGAATTAACTCTCTATGACCGAAGAGAACAAGCGAGCAAAAAGTTCTTCCAACGAATTTTAGATAATCCTAGTGATAAATTATACAAACTAATATCTAAAGTCGATTCAGCATCCTTTTATAACCTTCGTTGCAATAGATTAATAAACATTCCTCATTTTAAAACTGAACGATTTAAGAACACCTTTTTAGTAGCAAGTAGTTTTGAAGATTAATAAGTAAATAATTTTTTCTTAGTTTTAACTTTATATTGATGTTATTAATAAGATATTTTAACTTGTAAGCACCATGTATTTCAGTCGCAACTGCAATGGTTTTTGATTAAACATCTATCTATCTATATAAATAAAGCTCAGTATATATTTAGTATGAACATTTAGTGTAAATTTTCTATTTAACAATTAAACAACGAGTCCGAGTTGTCCATGAGCGAATAGTTAACGAAGGCGAAGCCTGAGTTGACTATATATTCGTTCATAGACAACGAAGGCGAGTTGTCTAATTGTTTTAGTATACACCCTGTACCTAGATATATTAATTTCGAGAAAATAATCGATACACCGCAATTACATTGAAAAATAATTTAATTAATTCAATTTTATACGGTCGCGCGAGCGAATTTTTTCCAAACGTTCACCATCACGAATAGACAATGGTTGAGTAGCCAATCAGAATGTAGGATTTGTAATAGAATTACTAATTTCCCACAATTACCACATTAGGATTTATTTACAAGTTCAATAGTTTACAATAGAAATCCGTCGGGCAGAACTGAATATATCAATAAACACCCCCCAGTTATTTTTCTATAGCTGCGCCCCTGAGTGATCTATAATTCTGGAGGAACAAGATTTTTAGAACTCTCTTTTGTACAAACTGTTTCCAGTCACGAGTTTCGCTACATATCCAGTAAAGGGCAACTAATAAGAATGGTTTATTATCACATATTCTTGCACAAATATAATTGTGAAATACAATATGTTTACAAATAATTAATTCGTATTTACAAAGTAAGATCTATACTATATTTACAAAAGACAATTTAAACGTTACGGAGTTTCTATAACCTACTGACTAAGGGGAATATTTACAAGTTAAGTCGCTATCCAAGTCCTATCGAAGTCTGAATCGTATGGATAAATAACAGCGTATGCATATCCTTTCAATGTTTCCTTTACAAACGTTATTATTCTTGCCAATATTAGTGCTGAAAACAGTTCCGGAATAGATTGCTGCGTGAAAGGCGCTACTCTAGTTTTCGAAGGTATACAATGTTCGAACAATAAGATGCCAATATCTTGTTTCTAGTTTTAAATACATAAGCGCGTTTACTGATGAATCACAGAATCCTTCCAAACTAGCATTGATGTCCGTGGATTTAACTCCGTTGAAATTACCAGTAGCGAATAAATAGAACGATAATTGGGGGGGGGGAGGAAATATTCATATATTCAGTTCTGCCCAACGGATTTCTTTTGTAAGTGCAATAGCAGAACTGAATATATGAATATTCACCCCCAACCCAATTATCGTTCTAGTTACGCCCCTGGAAATTACATTGTGGTAATGAGAAACGCTACGTCCTCTTTGCATTCTTCAGAATGATAATTCAGCAAACAACTAATATAATTTATACGTATAGTCTGAATAGGACTTAAATACAAATAATGTCATTAGATTAAACACTGCCATTCATTAATGACTTTACTGTTAGAATCAATGCATCGACTGTTTTTCTTTAAATTTTCTAAAAATGTTACACCACCAAAAACGGAAAAATTCTACTGAAAATGAGAATGTTGTCGAAATGCGAATGAGATGAATTTGCCACAAAGGATGTGCTGCAGATGTTGAATTCGAATCTGGGAGTGGTGACACGAATAAACAGGTTCTCTACTTCGCTACTGAATGGAGATATAATACCCAGAAAAGGAGGCGTCTATTTCCACCCACGGATC